TAATATCCAGTCAATCTTTTCTTCGTAATCATTCTTTTCAAATGTCGTGTTATCATCGTCTATACAGTTAATATAACCTTCGTTGATCACCTCTTGTATCTGTCTTCCTCTAGCATTTGTTTTTCTTGATCCCATATTGAATGTTGTTGCATTAAGATCACCTACTATGATGCAGTTGTTGTTTAAATTGTAAAGTTCGTTAAAGATGTTGCAATGGATTTTCACTGTTGGTGGTACATATATTGAAGAGATTAATATGTTTTTTTAATGATTGTGTTGCGATTTCAATAGCTATTATTTCATTCTTTCCAACAGTTTTGTTAAGTATTTCACTACATTTAATGTGTTGTTTGACGGCTAATAATACTCCTCCACCAGGTTTTCCTACTCGGTCGTTTCTGAAAATGTTGTAACCTTTCATAGAGAACTGTTGATCTCTTTTCAGGTTAGTTTCATTTACAGATATGACGTCGTATTTGGAGAATCTGGCAAGGAGTTCGTCTTTATGTTTTCGAATAGTGGTGATGTTAATATGACAAACACTAATCTTCATTATTATTTGTTTTTAATTCTTTGTTATCAGTTGTAGTGGAATCTAACGAGCTGTTGGGTGAGCGATTTCGTTTAATTGCTTTGGATATTGCTTTTGGTTTACGTTGGGCTTTTGATGGATTATCAGTTGTAACAGCTGGTGAATGTGTTGTTGTTGTAGTTAATGTGGATGAAGGTTTCCTGTTGACCTTTGATGCTTTTCTTGTATCTGCTGACTGTTTAATTTGTTGTTTTACTTTTTTGTTTGGTAATATTTTAATATCATCGTCGCTATCCGAATCCGACATCGAGTTGATATCCATATCGTCGTCGCTGATGATATTTTCTACTGCAGCAATGATTTTTTCGATCTTCTTGATTCTTTTCTCGAATGATTTTATTAGACGACTTGTTGTTTCTTCAATAATCTTTTCCATTTTACTGGAATGAATGTCGACTAGTTTATCCAAGATATCACTGTGTAGATGTTCTTGTTGTCGTTGTGTGATGCTTGGTAATGATGGAACTTCTTGAGGATCCTTTAATGATGGTATTGGTGTTGCCTTGTACGACGTGGTATATTGGTTGACCAAGTTAAGAAGTCTTCTTTCTTGTTCTACATAATTGGAACAAACATTAGACGTGGCTAAATGATTACCTTGACAACTGCAGCATTTCAACAAATCAGGAGCAGCCGTACGTTGGTCCATATGATGATTACCACCACATCGAGCACATATCTGTTGCTTTGATTTGCAGTACTTTGCCACATAATTGTATTTAAGGCATAAATAACATTGTACTGGCTTGGTATTTTGATTTGCTGCTTCAGCTATAAAATGCATTGAATCCACTTGTAGGCCAGTATGGACGAATGTATTTCGATTTTATGGATGAATGAATGTGATTTTGACCGTTTTTGTAGGCATATTTTTTGTTTTATTCATTAGTCGAACAACATCAATAGCATCAAGTCCAACATCCTTTAATGATTCAGTTATTCGAGTTTCAGGAATTTCGATGTCGACGTTCTTAACAAACGCGACTTTTTCCGTATCCTTAATACGTTGAATAGATCGGGGTGCATATATTTTTGCTGTATCCTGACCATTTGTGGCAAGAATTGGTGTCAGCTCATTTAACAGACGATTAAACGAACTAATATCGCTTGCATATAATGTGAAACTACCTGATCGACTTAGCTGAATATCAGAAATTCGTAAGTCTATTAAATTCTGCTTAATAGCATCATTTAATTGTAGTTTGTTTAGCTTCACGCCCTCTAGAATTAGAGGAGCGATGATAAACTTTGATTGGACCTTTGCTCCTGCCCTTATTCCTACAGAAGCCTTTGTTCTTGGACTATGACTCATCGCCATTGTTCCTTCAACATCAGCTACTGCTGTTTGACCTTGTTTTATGTTAATAGAATTAACATTACTTTGCCTTTGTTTATTTGCACCTGTTCCTCCTTTTTTGGAGGCATAATTAAGATATCACCTAATGCAAAAACACCTGGAGATAATTACCTTAATTAATATTTCCAAAAATAATTTGAAAATTGTGCGAAATAATTAAGCAATGATGAAAATAAGATAGACGAGTTGAACAAAGAAATGTACGTAACCGACGAAAATAAGATGCGACTTATCTTGACCGTGTAAAAGTGACGAATGTCTCCACAACTTAAATCAATCGTATCCGAGTAGGTTATCATTCGACCAATACGACTTTTAATTCTATTTCTGAATCGAAGCAATTCATTAAAATGAAGCTAAAAATTCAGAATAGAATGATTGATGACACATTAAATATACATATTCTTCATGTTATAAGCTACAAAATTCTAATAAGAAAACAGTCTACTCAATATTGTCAGCTTAAAGAGCTTGAAAAACGAGCTTTCTGCTTTGCCAGAAAGCTGTATTCTGGCAATTATCGCTTCATCTACGCGTTAAATGGCTACATGAAAAATATTGAGTTCTATGTCATTCGACACAGTATTGAATTGGGTCACAAGAAGGCTTGCTTAACGTAAAACAACAATTGCAGCGGCTCTTAAAATGAGGTGTCATATTGCGGACCTAGCGGTCCAAAACACCTTAACCTAATTATATTATCCTGAGAATCAGCATTCATCCCTGACTATTTTTCACAAGTTTATTGTATACTGTATCACAACCTATTTTTTTCGTACCTGTGGTCTCCCTCAGGGATCGGAAATCTTTTGTGGAACTCATGTATATTTTCGTAGAAAATAGTGAGTGTAAGTTTTAAGTTCGAGGTTTTGCGGCTCCCTCCACCCCCCCCCCCCTGTCCTCTTACAGACAGGCTCTCATTACAGACCATAGCAACGGAAGAGAACATTACAGACATACCCCCCCCCCCCCCAATTACAGACAGGCCCCCAATACAAACCATAGCAACGTAGGCCCCATTACAGACCTTAGCAACCAGATTTAAAATAATGGATATACATATACATATATATAACAGCTTCATTCGGTATATAATTCAATGCTGCTTGTAATAAAGATGTAAAATTAAAGAAAAAAAGCCGTGTTAAAAATGAAAAATACTGAGCGAATAGCAACAAAGAAGACGAAAAATAAGGGCGCCTGTCTGAAAATTAAAAACTTCGTGATTTTATACTATATATATTGCATATTCGTATAATGAAGCTGAAGTATATACGTGAGTTCTACCGGGGCTGTGCTAACAAGCTTTTTTCATAATAATTTTTTTGTTTCTATAATTCTATTTTATTGTACTCTTTTTTGTTGATTGGAAAAAATATATATTTAAAATAAATATAAAGATCATGATTATATTAAAAACTGAAAAATAACTTAAACTCGGCACATATTCGACTAGCGAAATGATTATTAAGGTCGAAATCACACCGAACAAGTTAAAACTGAATTAACCAATAAAATCGCTAGAATCGTTAAAACGCCCTTAATTCATCTTTTTGAGATGACTTAACTTAAATTGAGCGTTCATACGCCAATCATAGAATAGTCTGATTCTACAATGGAAGATATAAATGATATATATAACGAGATTAGATAAAAAGAAGTGATGTCGCTTGAAGAAGATAATTATTATAAAAATAGCGTACTAGATTTTTAAATTCTTCTACAAATTATGAGTTTCTAAAGCGACTCCACGAAAGTAAACAATAAGAAAATTTTTTTACTCCTTGAAAGTACACTATATTCATTCATTTTCACTACATTATAGAGGCTATTCTCAATTTTGATTTGTGGATTAGCTGCTTGATGTGATCACATATTGACTTAAAACAAAAGTTAAATTGCTCTATTTTTGGTGTGATTTCGGCCTAATTCTAATGAAGAGCAGCCATCTTGCATCACTTTTTCGATGATTCAGCTTTTTGAAATGGTTCAATTCTGATTGTTCAATCAAGTCAATAACATATATAGGTTTTGAATTGGTCCTTGTGTTTTGATTGTTTCAACGTATAGACATTTTTTCGGAAAAAGTAAAAGCACACTTCGATATAGAATCATTTTCTCTACCGACTGGTATTTACTAAAACTCTGGCCTCATCCAAAAATTCAGAGAGCGCCACGCGCAGTGCATTTGATATTGATTCGCTTAAAACACTACTCTTTTTCTGCTGTGACAGTGGACTATTAAGTATATTTTCAATGAAAGAAATAGCGCTTAATTTTTTATATTCATTAATGGAATATTATTGGCCGTGAATTACTTCACCTCAATAACTCTAATAACCAAACACTATCGTTAATCATTCATGTTGCTTTCAATGCAAAATATTATTGCGTAGCACCCTATCATATTCATTCGTTCGTTCACTGCATTCATGACAAAGAACCTCCACGTGACTAATCGTTTCTATTTCAGTTTACACTTGATTTACCATTACTCATCGTTTTCCTGTATTTAAATACAACAAACATATTTACGTATTTTTATTTGATGATTTAACACAGTATATTATCATGCACGTTGTTTTTAATCTTGGAATACTGCTCTTCTTGATAATTAGTACTGCTCATATTCAAGGAGGTAACATTTTGCAAACCAATTCTTTTTCTTGATGATTTAAATTTGTTTTTTTTTCCTTTTCAATTATAGGCTAAATCGACTCTATTAAATCAAAATTTACTGGTGAATGTGGTTTACACCAAGAGTATAGCAGTTGTGGTACTGCTTGTCCTGAAACATGTGATTATAAACCACAAATATGTACAGACGAATGTGTTGAAGGTTGTTTCTGCAAGCTAGATTATGTTCGCAAAGATAACAGCACTAACAGCCCTTGTATCTCACGAAAGAAGTGTTAGAAAGAAATGCATTGAACAAAAAACTTCTATTTTTTGTGAATATTATTATGTTTAAAAAGAAACAGATGAACCGTGATGTTTTTATTTATTCGATTTCTTATATTACAAAGATGGATTTTTTACTATTTTATTGATAACAATGTTTTTTGTAATTGTTAATTGTCATTAACACATCATGGTAGCATATAACTCTATCAAAAGAAAGAAAACTATTTTATTTTGACTTATTTATATATTTGTTCGAACTTTTAATCTAAATAATACATGTGACTATATCCATAGGATGTCGCTCGGTCGATCATGTGACCACGTCCAAATCCATTAAAACTATCAGAGTGTGTAGAGCTTTTTTCCTGAACATTACAGTTATAAAGTTTTTATATTTAGATTCTATTTTCAAAGAGATATGAACCAAATACTATAGAAACAATTTCAGTTTTTTTTGTAATAAATGGTAGTTGCATTTTGGGTGGGCCTGTAGATGTGAATAGAAGACTAACAAATCACCTGCACTAACTCTACACCCATTCCTCACGCTCACACACTGCTTTGACATGATTTTCTATAGTGAAATTCACATTCTCTTATAATATTTGTCAGATTGCACTAATATCAATAGATAGGCAAAGCAGTTTGCAGTGGTATCAAGAAAAATGAATGCTTTGATTACTATTAGAAATTACTCGAAATTCCTTGGAATCATTGAAAATTATATTAAATCAGACGAAATCACTTGAAAATACGAAATCAGTTTCTTCTCCCTGGCTGTATAAACAGAAACCATTTTCTCATCGATTGATTCGACTGTTTACTGCTGTGAATACGTTAGGGTGAAGCATGCAGGATTAGCAAATAAATTCAAAAATAGCGAAAATGCTTTGATCAAGTGGTGGACATTATTTTAGCATGATGTAGGAAACCTTGCATCTTTTAAAATAGATGCTTACTGTGTTCTAACGTCGAGAAATTTTTTTTAACACAATGAAAAAAAATCACTGTTCAAACACATCGTGTTTGATATTCCTCTTTATTTGCGGCAACTTTTTGACAATTATCACACTTGTTTTCAAGGCTTTTCTCCTAGAGATGACTTCTCTGAGACATAAGATCAGTAAAGAAAAATGATAATTGAATCAGTCGAATACACTTTGTGTCTCTCATGGTAATCATGTTGAAAAATTGATAGAAATTCTAAGAAATTTTTTAATGTTTCAAAACGTTAAGCATTAATGGATAAACATGAACAACGAAAAAAACTGATGCAAAGATTTTAACTAATACATTGTCAGCGAAAAGCATTTACCTCTAGAGTATTTCATTTACTTTAGTTGCTGTGTTTGAGTATGTCGAAGCTCGAGCAACGTCCATGTTAGCTCCAATATGTATAGAACGAAAGAGACGAGCAGTGTCACTGATGTTATGTGACAGAACGATGAAAAAGATGACCTTCATGGGAATCGAACCCATACCTCCTGCTATCCGGGCAGTTGTCCTAAGTTAATTAGACTAGA